AACTATTTTCAATATTTATAGAAAAGGTAAGTCAAGCGAGCCTTCCAAAAAAGTATTGTAAAATAATATAAAAAAAAATTTTCATCAATTGTGTAATGATTTTGTAATGTATCAACAGTACATCCATATGAGTACTCAAGTATATGACTTGAACTAGGAGAATATCTGGGTACACATGTCGCAAAAATAAGATAGTTTATTAAATGATGTTTTTATTACTCAGATAATTGATTACTTCAATTGCCAATAAAAACAAGTCAACATATAATATAAACAAGAATTAGATGTTTTAATTGATTAAATTGATAGATAGATAAGAAACAATTTTTTAATAACCACTTAGCATGCTAGGTTGGTAAAGAAAAATAAATTTTAAAAAAAAAAGATGATAATAAATAAAAAATATAATAATAATGATAATAATGACAATAATAGTGAAATAAAATAACTAACAAAGCTCCTATTAGCAATTTTACCCATTCAACAGCCCTATAAAAAAATTTTGTACAGTTATTGTAGGTATTGTCCAAAAAAATGTTCGGAACAAAGTCGATTTTCTGAACAGGGTTTATGTTTGTCTGTTTTCATAACGACGTTTGTATAAAATATAAAAAATAGAAAATTTTTGATTGAAAATTATTGCATAAAAAATGTATAAAAATCGCATTCATCCAATAAACATCCTTTAAATGTTTTTGATTTTCTGAACAAAAAATCGAATAATTTCAGAATTTTCTGAACAATTCCAAGAGATTTTATTTTTTATTGCAGGAGGAAAAATTACTTAGAACAATATTCCAATGATCATTTTTTAGATCATTTTCGATAGGAATTAAATTTGCTGCAACAAATAAACATGCTCCATTATAAAAATTATCACTAGAATTGGTGGGAGTTTGACCATTATCAACAGTTCCATTAAAAGCGATAATTTCATATGAAAGAGTTGTCTGTACTGGTATTGAATTGGCAAAAAGAAAGAATCCACCAGAAGTAAAATCAATAATTTGAATATAATCAGTATTTTTCCCACTACCATTTTTTGGAAAATAATCTACTGAAAAACATGTTGCTCTGTTAGGAACTTGAACTGCTAATTAGATACCATATATATTAGAGATATAAAAAAATGCGAAAAATAAAATGGCTAGCAAATAATTTCTAATATATTTGCTGCAATTGATTGAATTCATTATGATAAAAAATTTTTTAATAAACTTTTATATTTTAAGATGATTTATAATAGTGGTAGTTTTTGATGTTAATTTAGTGTCAAAGTTTAAAAAATTAAAATATGATATTGATATTTTGATTTTAACTAGCAAGAGTTGGGCAATGAAAGAAACCTATTTATTATATTATAGATTCTACAGATTGAATAAAGGCAAATCGGGCTACAACCGGTATTACATAATCCCAATATGAGCTCATAGGCAGAAATTCGTCTGATTGGCTAATGCAAATCAATTGCCCGGGTAATTTGTTTATATGGTTTAGAGTACTTTTTAAGAATGTATATAACATTATACAAGTAACTAACTTAGTTTCTATTTTTGAAGAGGTGCTTGAAAGCTAACTTCAAAAATAATCTCTAATAATCACTAATTTAAGAGGGGTTAGCTTAATAATGACTTTTTGAATTAGGTCAAGAAAAAAAAGCCTTTTCTAAATTTTAAACTGCTAAATAGAAACAGTTTCTAATGGAAATAACTATTTTTCTTTTTTTAAGATTAAAAGATGTTGGGTTTTTAGACAAAATAAGGCTGTTAATAAGGAGATTTAATATAATGTATAGGAGACTTTAAGTTAGAGTGTTTAAGCTTGTTAAAAGTAATAATAGCTTTATTATATATATTTTTTTATAGCATAGTGTATTTCTCGAATTTATATTTTTTGATTTATGCATTTTTTTTTTATGTATAAGGCTTCGTTTCCTTGAAGTTTTTCATTAATAGTTAATGTCAGTATTGTTATAAAGCCAAGGATGGGTTATGACCAGGTCATAAGCCTGTAATCAAATGATCACTAGTCATATAGTCATATGACCAGTGGTTATATTATTTTTAGATCACTTTAGGTCATATAGTTTTATCCAATCAAATTGCATAATTTTTGTGTAACATTAGAGATACGAACCTTGCTGATCCTAATACTAATATTAACAGTTTTCAGAAATAATTAACCGTAATGGTAATGCGGGCCAAAAACTGTTATATTAGCAAAAGGTTTACATCTTTATGTCAAACCAGGAACGAAGTAATTTACTATGCCATTTTTATTATGTGTGTCCACAAAATCTAATAACTGATTGAACAATATGTTAAATGTAATGAAATATGAAATTCTGCACTTAAACTTATGATATTGCATCATATAGCACTATATTTATATATATAGTATGAGATTTGTTTAACCATAATAAATATTCAACTTGTATTTTTTATTGCTTTAACAGGTTTTTGTTTCAATTACATTATGTGAATGGTGATCAATACCTTTTTTTTTTATTATGCCCTTCGGAATTCTTCAGAGCTGTTAACGAAGCCGGTTTTGGCTGCAACTGAATAAGCTTTTTAAATTATAAGTATAGTTATTGAAGCCATGACTTGTGTTATGGCTAGAGCATGACTTAAACTATGACTTATTACTGTACCGATACAGTACTGCAGTAGTTTGCAAATATTATTATGTACGTAGCTACAGTAATAATGATTTTAA